CGAGGCTCTGGCTCTCTGGCTAATTCTTTAGATGCTTGGATGTCAGGTCAGAGGACACAGAAGGGCAGGTAGACTGTGAGGCACTCACTGTCATAGCGGGCACTGTGCCCACTGTAGCATAGGGCAGTCACATGCCCCCGAAGCTCTCCGTCTGGGAAGTCCTTGGTACCAATATTCAGGAACAGCTCATTTTGTAGCAGCATATGAGCCCCTCGGGCACCCAGCCCAGAGCAGATACCCACAGCCTAGGGGTCAAAGAAGGATGAGCCCTCTCACTTCTGATCCCAAGGGCTTTCCATGTTTTATGCCTCCACTACACATCTATCCTTCCTCATCCCAATAATGCTGGACAAGAACTTTGTAGGTCAAGTGTCAAGGCCCTCTTCTGCCACGCTGCCACGTCCTAGCCACACCACAACCCTTGAAGAGTTACTCATCTGTGAGTGCTTCTCATCTATCAAAGGGTACTGGGGAAGGCAAAAGATACATAAAGAAGGCAACCACGTTCATGCCTGACAGAAAGATCCCAAAAGTAACAACAGTACTATCTCACGGACTATTGCACTATTCCTGTGAGTGGTATTTACTATTTAACTATGAGCTTACTGAGAACAAGGATTCCAGCCTAATGTTTACTAAAACGTGTCAAATGAATAAAGAACTCATTGAGAGAACCCACGAGTATGTGAACGGTACTACACACCCCTACTCAACCAACCTGGCTTCCCGCAGCCCATGTATTGGCAGCCCTGGCACAACTCTGCCTGGAGCCCTCACCATGTGTCCTCCCAGCTGGAGTCCAGCCATGTGGCACAGGGCAGTGCGCTGGTTCTTCCGCTGAGGCTTGGTCTCCAGTGTCATGGCCACCACCTCGCTACCTGTACCTACCACTTGCACCTGGTGGGCAGGGTTGGGGGAAGGCAATTGGATTGCCAGCCAAGACCTAAGACCTTTCCCAGTGCAGGTCAAGGCCCTGCCCCACTGGCCCCCCTACCTCCTACAGCTGCTGACTCTTACCTGATAGATAAGGGAGCCATTTCCTAGCAGTATGAAGCTGGCTGAGCCAGCAGCACCCGTCTGGACTGGGATCAGGGCATCAGCCCCACAAAGTACACTTTGAAGGACTGCAGGGGACAAGACAGGTGGCAGCAGGCTTGCCCATACCCAGACCCCCAAGAACTCTCCCATCTGTTTTGGCCTCTTGTTTAGCACACGTTTGTGCCTCTGAGCTATGTGTACCCACAGTGCCAGCCCCACCCCTCCTCACCATCACAGCTCTGCCTGGTAGTAATGTATCCGCTGATGCGTAGCTCTGGCTCACTTGCCTGCTCTAGGACCATCTGCAGCTCCCCCAGCACCAACCAGCCCATCTCTTGGTCTGTAAGGCTGGGCAGCACCTCAGCAAAACCTGGCTCCTGTGAACAGAGCAGAGCACTGTGGGCAATAGCAAGAGGTCAGAGTAAGGAGAAGCAAGATGCAGGCCTTCCCTTACCTGAGCTGAGGTGTTGGCCTGGAGCTCTCGGAGTGGCTGTCCCTGGTGGAGAATTTGAAGCTTCAAGGGCACCTGAGCTAGTCCTGCAAGCACTGCATATGTGAACATTTCACAGGTGAGCGACCTCCCTAATGCCCTCACGTACATCTTCCCCATCACTCACCTCCCAGCAGACCCCGGAAGAGCAGCAAAAAATGTAAGGAATCTTCTGTGTCACTAAGGGTGAGCAGGGCTATGCCCCCCACACCCCACTGCTGTGGGTCTTCCAGGGTCAGGATGGCACTGAAGGTCTCTGAGGAGTGGAAGACCATGACAGCCGTAAGAAAATCCTCTCTTCAGTCCACCCATCCCTAGGCTATTGAAGGCCTCTTGACATCTAAAACGTCTCACTTCCCCTACCTGCAGCGAGAGCACCCTGCCAAATGAGAGGCCCCCAGACTTCTCCTGAAGGATGAGTGGGTGTCACAAGGGCTACACGCAGCTGCTCTGCTCTCAGGAGCCTCACAGATGGTCGAGGTACTGCCCGCCACACCCCACAGACCTAGAGGGAAGAAAGTCTACCGTAATTATGCAGGACAAGCCAGCTAAAAGACCCAGACCTAATGAGGAAGGAGTATGGAAGGGGGACCCCAGATCCTCTAAGAAGGACCCAGGAGCCTTGATTTTAAGTCCTGGCTTATCACTTACTAGCCAAATGACCTTGAACAAATCACATTCTGCTATTCTGAGCCTCAGTTCCCTCCTCTGTAAAATGGGCACCATAATGTCAGGGCCTTTCTCCCTCTGGGCTGTTGTAAGAACCAAAGGAGGCGATGCAAAGCATGCTCTTAGCAAGTGCCCATTTTGGATAAGCACTCTTAAATGGCATCATCTCACCAGGCCATCCTGGGTGGGGGCTGCAGGGTGTTCAAACAGGATGTTGCCTGTGGGATCTGTGAACCGAACCCTGCTGGGACGGTCCAGCCTGTGAAAAGAGGTCCAGTGAGACTAGATCTATAACCTACAGGCTCGTCTTTCTCGCCCTCTTTACTACTCCTAGTCCTTGCCCTTTCCCGGGTCTCACCGCTGGTAGGAGATAGAGAAGCGTAAACTTGAGCGCAGCAGAGAGACTCGAGCACGAGCTACCGCCTGCGACCTCGGTCCTGTCAGCAGCGCCACAAAGTCTTCGAGAAGAGAAGATGGCCTGAGCACTGTCAAGCCTTGCCACGGGACTGAAACTTCATCAGGCCCACCTCCATCCCAGCCTACCCGTGTGGCCATCAGCACGTGTCCGCTCCCCAACGCCGGGTTCCCCTCGATCGCTATAACTGCGATGTTCTGGGTCTCTTGGATACTCGAAGACCAGGCCAGCGGGCTGCGGATCTATATTGCTGCGCTCTGCATCCGGAGTAAGGAATAAGATCGCTGGCTTCAGCAAGGTACCAGGAGGACCAGTCCTCCTCTGCGATCCAAGCCCCACAAGACCTAGTGTTAAAGCCTTCCACCCGCCCTAACTCGGGGCACAGCGGGCCTCACCCTGCGGGCAGGTCTGGCAGCAGTGTCCTGGCAGCTGGCGCGGCTGCCTGCAGGCCAGGGTGGGGCACTGAGGTTTGATGTTCTTGCAGCTGACCCTGCCAGGGCCCCTCCCACGGCGAGCCCACTGAGGCTGACGGCAGAGAACATAGGAAAATTAAGGGAATGCAACCATCAGACCCCAGGGTTAGATAATCTGCTAGAGTCAGTCAGCTCTGCTATTTGCAAGTTACATGGCCCTGGACAAGTTTCTTCTCGGAGTCTTGGAGTCCCTGTCTGCAAAGTAGAGCTAATAATGCCATTTATCTAGCAAGACTGTAACGGGAGGGGGAAAGTTGGCTAAAAGCCAGTCACATTGTGGGTGATCAATAACTGTCAACACCGCAGACTTGAAAGGGGTTTCCTCCGATTTGCGGACCAGCCTTCCCCTGAGCATCTCCGAGTCTCTACGGCTTAGGACGCCAGCGTTCCGCTACCCTCTAGGGTAGGGCGGGCAGCTGCGGTATCCACTCACCGCTTCACAGGCGCACAGCACGCAGCGCATCACCCCAAAAGGCTCCCCCAGGTCCGGGTGCCACGTCTCGTCCAAGGCATAGACCTTCCCGCCGAAGGAGCAGCCTGCGGGGACGGGCTTGGCTGGCGGCCGCTGTCCGGTTGCTCCTGCCGTAATGCCTGCTCCGGGCTCTGCCCGCCAGGCCCTTGGTCCCTTGGCATCATGCACCTCGCCGCCTCTGCTTTCCCCTCCCACCCTCCCGCTGCGCGAAGCCACCTGCGCCCGGGGCCCTCTCCCTGTGGATGTAGACTTGCCTGGAGCCAGACTCCCCTCCCGCGCCTCCCCCTGGCGCCCACCTACCTGCCGCTCCCCGGACAGGCAGCGGCTCCTTCTCGGAACGGATGGGCAGTGCGGGGGGCTCAGGGCCAGTGCCACCGGCCGGCCGCGAGCCGAGCAGCAGCAGCCCGAGGAGCAGCCGCGGGGCCGGCGGGGCCGGGAGGCTCGGCATGACGCGGAGCAGACAGCTGGGGAGGCGGGCGGGAGGAGGGAGCAGGAGAGGGAGTAGGGCCGGACCGGAGGCGGGCCGGGAGGAGGGGGCCGGGGCCAGGAGGGGGGCAGTGGCGAGGGGCTCGTCTCGCAGTCGCCTAGTCCGCTCCCGGCCGGGCGGGGCGGGAGAGAGCGGGCGGAGGGGCGCTGACCCGGGCCGTACGCCACTCTAGTGCCCTAGGCGCCGGCTCTGGCCCGTTTTATGCCCGCGCCAGGCGTCCCGGCCCGAGGCCTCCTCTTCAGCAAACGGGGCGCGGCGGCGGCTCCACAAGGAGCCCGGCTGAGCCCGGGGGGTCCGGCCCAGCAGCAGCGGCCGGATCGCGAGTGGGGGAGGGGGACAGGCTGGGACCCGGCAGGGGAGGAGGGAGGGACTGGAGGAGGGGGGAGTGGAGTGGGTAGGGGGAAGGGAGGAACCAGGGGGCGCAAAGAGGGGGAGGAGAGGCGGGCCTCGACACCCCCACACACACTCCTTGCGGCCACCCTTGGAGGTGGTGTCCATCCCAAGACCGGAGCCTCAGGCTAGTGAAGGGCAGAGGCTGAGCCTCGGGCCTGTACCAGTCTTGAGCGGATGGGCCGCTGGAGGATGAGGACTTGTCTTTGAAAAGGACACCGATCTTCCCCTACCGAGGACCCACAGCATCCCCCCCCCCTTCCTTTCATTCTGGCTGTATTCCTATTTCCCTTCCAAGGTCTCTCCTCTTTCTTCAGTTCCCGGGACAGGGACCTAGCCTGTGCTTCCCAGAATCAAGCAGTGCTTCCTCATGAGAGAAGTCATAATCCTCCACCACCCCAACCTGTTCGCAAGCCCATCCATCCTTCACCTCTGGCTCTCTCACTTCAACCAAGGGATGATGCTCTTCCTCTCCAGCTCAGTCCCCACCTCCTTGTCCTGCTTTTCTAGATATGCTTCCCCATCCTCTCCCACCCCCACTGTTCTTCCCACTATCCCAGCACCAGGCTTCCTAATCTTAGGAGGCATCTCTTATTCAACTGGAGAATTCCGGGATCTGGGCCACACTCCTAAGTAGATAGCCCATCCTCAGAGGAGGTGCGGGAGAAAGCCTGAGTAAGAACAAGAGAGACAGGACAGGGTCAGGCCACAAGGTCTCCCTGGGGACAGAGACTGTGGGGAGACAGGGACTGAGGAGAAAGCACAGGAGCTAGAGCTAGGGCCAAAGGAAGAAAGAAAGGAGCCAGCAAAGAGGTATTTGTGGAGGAGGCTCGGCAGCTGTCTTTCCTAAGACAGGAACAGATGGGCCTGGTTATTTCTCTTGTCACATGTATAGGACTGGAAGAGGACCATTGAGCAATCAAGGGCAGGCTTGCCCACAGAGCTGAGGGGGTTTAGCTCTCCAGGTCCCTGTACCCCCATAGAAAGAAGTGCACCTGAGCCCAGTCAATCTGTCTGTCTGTCTTTTTTAAACAGGTTCTCGTTACGTAGCCCTGGCTCACTAGGTAGACCAGGCTAGCCTCAAACTCACCAAGATCCACTTGCTTCTACCTCCCAAGTGCTGATATTAAAGACATGCTCTGGGCTTAGTCTTAACGTAATGCATATCCCTTCACTCCCCAGGTCCCACATATTGTCAATACTCTTTTTCCTATAGCATGACCATTCTCTGATATTGGCAGTACCTACATTGACAGTTGGGAAGGGGAAATGCCAGGAAAGACACTCCTCTGGAGCAGGGGATATGGAAGGAAAAGCAAGAAAGCCAGAATGCCATCAGATTTCAGCAGCTGGTATACTGTTTGGGGAAAAGAAATTTGGAGAGCCAGGAACTGAGACTTCATCAATCTAAAACAAGACCTCTCTTTCCAGGGACAAGTGTATTCTGCCAGGTTTCTCCTGAACTAACCGTTTTCTCCTCTCTCCCAGCCAGATCCCAAGTTCTCATGTCCCCAGGACGTGAGACAGCTCTCGCTATACAAATCCTCTCTAGACTGCGTGTGGGTGGAGGAGCTGGGCTCCATTCATGGACCACGGTTCAGCTGTGGGCTCAAGTCCCATTAGATAGGAAAAGAAATCGTCATTTCCGGGGCCTTCACCAGGGCTTGGTGGCTCTCTGCTCTCTGATTGGGCGGAAGTGGCCTGGGCAGGCTTGTGACCCTACTACAGAGGAGGGGCTCTACCCCAACCAGTATCTTCCTACATACCTGCTCCCCAGAGTGCTGCCTGCTGTGCATCTGGGTCCTGAAGCACTTCTCCACCCGGTGAGTGGCAGACACCATTTGGGGTTAAGTGAGGGTATGGTATGAAGAACAAAAAAGAACCAGGCTCTTAGCTGGGGGAGGGGCAAGCAAACTGGAACCTACAGGCACTGACCTTTGTCAAGAAGAGTGGAGCCTTCCCAGAATGGGAGGAGCGGGACAGAGCAGGGAAAGGGGGTTGGGTAACTGGTTTATGAGGGACTAGTCACAGACTCAGTAGAATTCAGCATAGGTCTGGCTGCTTTAGGACCATGAGAGAATAAAAAAGAGGTGTGTGTAGACCTAGAGAACTTTGTCCTAAGAACATAATCCTAATTCCCATCCTCAGATGGCCATTCTTGTTAGCTTAAGGTTCTGAATCCTGGGACTGGGAAGCTGGGCCAGGTGAGCCAAGGCACAAGAAGAGGGTAATGGGGGGGGGGGTTGTTATGTTGACAGACCTACAGGAGATCCCAATATTGAATCAGGTGCAGGTCTCTTTGCTCAACTTGTGAAAAGTCAGGGTCCCAGGAAGGGATCTGGAGGGGGCAGGGAGACAGATGCAGCTGCAGTAAATACACTGGCAGTGTCTGAGGTGAAATAAGCCATGTGGGGTAGGTATCACCTTCCTCTGTAAGTGCCTCCCAGGCCACTTGCCTCTGGAAGGAAGTCCTAGTTCTATTAGCCCTTTGATTTGAGTAACAAGGCATTTCAGAACTTGAAAATCCAACGAAAATTCCCAGATTTTATTTGTGGGGCAAAAAGGGAAAGAATGAGAAGCAAGTGTCTCTTTTAATTTCTGCCTCTGGTGGTCTGTTATGTCTTTACCCAATCTCCTGCCTCAGCCCCACTCCCAACACTGTAGCTGTTCCTCAGAAACATGTGCCCACCTGCCACTTTCTCTTCTCAGCCTGATAACCCATTTTCTGCTCTTCTTCAGACTTAGCAACACCCCCTTCTCTGTTCCTATCCCACATTCTCTCCCAGCTAACAACCAATGGTGCTCAGAATTTGAGTCCACTTAAGATGTGTATGTAACATCTTGCTGCTCTCAGCAGGGCAGCAGTCAGTAGTAGATGAGGCACCTTATCAGAGTCATTGAAGAGCCCTTACAAAGAGGAGGCGCTATATGCCTCAGTCAGAAGAAAACATGGGAGCAGTTGGAACACAAACAGCTCTGCCCTAGCTGGCCAGCAGCTCTGGGCCTCGAAGCACATGCTTTCCCACACCAGACAGTCTTTTCCTTGAAACCTGATGAAAGATTCGCTATTTCTGTCATTTTCAGGAGAGATTCCTTGGCCCACCCGTCCCCCACCCTACTCTGTACAGAAGTGCAAAAGCTCAAGCCGCCTCCATGGCCCCAGGAAAGACTCAGGGGAGAGGCCCCACACAGGGAGCCACGCCAGTCAGACACCCTGGCCAGAATGGAGCTGACTGGTAAGGCTATGTGAGGGCAAGGGACAAGTTCAAGAATGGCTCGGCAGCAGGGGAGGTGGACAGAGGGCTGGGAAACCCAGTTTCCAGGAAAAAGGTGTCTGTCTGGACACCAGACCCCTGGATTTCAGGTCTGGCCCCCAGTGGGGATCCCCGAGTCACTACCTGAGAATGAGTTTCTCCTTATCGAACCTTCAACCTTACCTCTCCTCATCTAAGATTTGCTCCTGGTGGCCATGCTTCTCCTCACCGCAAGACTAACTCTGTCCAGCCCAGTTCCTCCTGCCTGTGACCCCAGACTCCTAAATAAACTGCTTCGTGACTCCCACCTCCTCCACAGCCGTCTGGTGAGCAACCCCAAGCCCTAAGCTTTCTATCCACTTAACTGAGTTAAGGAACTCAGGCCTTCAGTTCCTCTCACTCCAGTCTTGTCTTTGGCGAGACCACCATGTCTTAACCCTGGCAAGTGCTATGCTTTCTATTAGTCTCTTAGAAGCTCTAATATGAGCATGGTACTAAGGAAGACCACCCCAGTCATGGACCACCATGCTGACCTCTATGTCAGCTCTTTCCTCCTGCCCCCATCTTTCTTAACAGAGCCAGTGTCCTGACGTCAACCCTTTGCCTATCCCTGTCCTGCTGCCTGCTGTGGACTTTAGCCTGGGAGAATGGAAAACCCAGACGGTAAGAGGCTCCTGGACACCTGCAAGGTCTACACTGAGACAGGATGCTTGCCTTAAATCTGAGGCTAACCTAGGATGTTCCAGGCCAGGCTGGACTACAGAGTGAGACCCCATCTCAAAGGAAAAAAAAAAAAAGAGGGAGAAAATCTGTTCCATGGCCTTCCCTAAATCCTGTTATTGTCAGATTCCTCCTGCTCTCCATCGTTCTGAAAATTCTTGAATTCCCTAAAAGTCTTACTTTCAGGTTTGCCACCTTATCCCAAGTTACATTTACAGATGATGAGATCTTGAGAAAACAATGACAAATTTCTGACCCATCAAATAGGTTGGGCATGGTGGCTTTAATTTCATGCCTTTAATCTCATCACTCAGGAAGCAATGGCAAACAGATCTCTGTGAGTTCAAGGCCAAGGCCAGTAAAGAATGAGACACTATCTCAAACACATGTGGGTATATACATATTTGTATATATATGCACTCATATATATGAGATAGTATATAAATGCATACATATATATGTATGTATTATAAAAAGTTGGTTTGAAGCCTTTCATGTCTATACCTTTGACCTATTCTTATTCTGTTCAATCCTTTTTAACGCATTTGTTTGTATATATGACAGCAGATGCTGTATAGAGGTCAGAGTCATCAAGACTGACCACAAGCACCTTTACCCTCTGAGCCATTTCAAGGACTCTTCAACTTTCTCTCTCTCTCTCTCTCTCTCTCTCTCTCTCTCTCTCTCTCTCTCTCTTTCTTC